TCATCAGAACGTGTACAATTGCCTCAGTCCTTAAGGGGTTAAACCCTCATCATGTGTGTGATGTGCCTGACTGCAGCTAACCTCCCAATACTGTGAGGAATAGCTGAGGGGCAACTGTAGTGGCTAGCTACATTCAGAGAACATGCTTCTGGAGTGCTCTTGCATGGGCTAAGAGCCCCACGTTTACTTGGCCCTCCAGACATTGCTGAACTCCAATTCCCATGATTCTCAGCCTATCTATTTCATTCATAGAATCATGGGAGTTGTAGTTCGGCAACATCTGGAGGGCCGGAGTTTGAAGAAGCCTGTTCTAGAGCATCTGAGGTGTTATAAACTATGCTGCAGGATCAGTGGGCCATGAAGGGCACAAGAGCTATGGAAGTATGGGACATATTTTTGTTTTCCACCTCTTTTTAAAAGTATACCATGTTGTTTTGTTTAACCCCTTAAGGACACATGACATGTGTGACATGACATGATTCCCTTTTATTCCAGAAGTTTGGTCCTTAAGGGGTTAAACAAATGTGTCTTTCCTTTAGAGGGTTAATTTGGTAGCAAAATAATAATTGTGTTATTACTGGGAGCGGATCAGTTCAGACCAATTCTAAATTGGTGAGAAAAAAATTACGCAATATAATGTGGAAAAATAGTCACCACATACAATTAAACAACAAATATGATAGGTTCCATTGATTTGTATGTGCATATCACTAAAGGGCAATAAATATCTTTACCTCCTTGCACAGGAGCAGAATGAAGATTATGGATTATTTAATGAGCAGCAAAATATAATTCAAGTTTCAGGAAAGTAAAACTTTATAGCTGTAATGCCCATAAACTATGACACATGATTTGATTTAATGAGATAGGTAAATATCAAACTGATTCCTACAACAGTTTCTAAAGTTATGTTGGTGATTTCTCCTTGTTTTTCCTATATTTGTTACCTAGTCTTGTTTTTTTCTTTCTAAATATTTTTTTATACACCAGCTCTAATCTCTATCCCTTTGCACACCTGGTTATAGAATTAATTACGTTTATTTTAGCTAACTCCTTAATTAGTCACTTATGTAAACAGGCCTATAGAAATTAGACGTGGACAATGTACAACATACCCCTAAAATTTTAAAATGGACAAAAAAGGGACACTTTTATTTTAGGGGTGTGAGTGGGGGTGTGGTGAGGGACAGGCTGTTCTGGGAAACCTTAGATGACACTAATAACAATTTGTGCAACTAAAATATAATTTCGAACAATAACAATGTATCATATTTACACAGACTGCTTTCTAAACACATTTATTGTAGTCGAAAGATCCACAGCTGTGAATATTTTTGCTTTGTAGCTCTGTTATACACCCATGCACACCAACAAGAAAGAGCTATTAGAAAAGTGGGACATTAGGATAGAAAAGAAGGACACATGGATTTTGGCCCAAAATAGTGACTGTGCCTCCTAAATGGGGACACTCGGGAGGTATAGTATAACAGACCACGTAAATCACTTTGCCAACTGGTGCTGATGAACTACAACTCATGTAGTTCTCTGGCCATCATCTATTGCAACAAAGAATTCTGGGAGCTGTATGCCATCAACATCGGGAGGGAGGAGTAGAGTTTGAGATTTTTACTCTAGCCCCATGGGTCTGAGTTAAAGGACCACTATAGTGCCAGGAAAACATACTCGTGGGACCCCCTCCCAACCGGCTCTGGAAGGGGGAAAAGGGTTAAAACTTGCCTTTTTCCAGCGCTGGGCGGAGAGCTCTCCTCCTCCGATCCTCCTCCAATCCTCCCCGTCGGCTGAATGCACACGTGCGGCAAGAGCAGCGCGCGCATTCAGCCGGTCACATAGGAAAGCATTCATAATGCTTTCCTATGGACGCTGGCGTGCTCTCACTGTGAAAATCATAGTGAGAAGCACGCAAGCGCCTCTAGCGGCTGTCAATGAGACAGCCGCTAGAGGAAATAGGGGAAGGCTTAACCCATTCATAAACATAGCAGTTTCTCTGAAATTGCTATGTTTATGAAAAAATGGGTTAACCCTAGCTGGACCTGGCACCCAGACTACTTCATTAAGCTGAAGTGGTCTGGGTGCCTAGAGTGGTCCTTTAAGGCCATATGGTTCTCTCAGAGAATTGTTATGACATCACATGATGCTGACACCACACAAATCAGAAATTAATGTTACTCTAATTTCTTCATCTAACCTCTGTTGACATGTCTTTCCACTCAAAGCCACTTTGCTGTATGTCACTTCAGTCCCCAAACCTTTTACGTTCTCATCCTCTATCTACTACCCTAATAGTTATTTGGGCATTTTCCTCTTTCTTGCCCACCTCATTCTGTGAATTATACAGTTGGTTGCATTACAACACACTTACATATATTGAATGAATTTGACACACATATACCGACTACTGATTACAGTGAGTTTTGCGCCAATCAACCTATGTGTCAGTCATACACTGTATGTTATTTCAATGCTGTGTTGAGTTACATTGATGTTTACATTCAAACTTTTTTTTTTTATAAACAAAATTGTCAAGATACAACTGTGATAGGTCTGTACGTAAATAGGCTACCAATTACGTGAGAGGTATAATGAAGTTGCATTAGTTGCTCATTTTTGTAGGTGTAATGCGTTTTGAAAGACACTTTTGTAGATGTATGTGCTGCAGGATTCCTCTTTGTTTAATCTGTCACCCCCTTCTAAAAAACCCTGATTACCCCTCTACTAAGCCCCTGTCACCCATTTCTACAAATCCCTTGCCCTCTCTTTAAAACCCCTGTCATCCTCTTCTAAAAAAAAACCTGTAACGCCTCCTCTACAAAACCCTGTCCCCCTTCTCTAGAAAACCCTTGCCCACCCCTTGTACAAAACCCTTGCCCACCCCCTCTACAAAGCCCTACCCCAACACCTCTACAAAACCCTTGCTCACCCCCTCTACAAAACCCTACCCCAACACCTGTACAAAACCCTTGCCCACCCCCACTCTACAAAACCACTGCCGACCCTATCGCTACAAAATCCCTGCCCCCATACTCTACAAAACCTTCTATAAGAGCTCTGCCCACCCCCTCTACAAAACCGCTGCCCACCTCTTCTAGAAAACCTCTGTCCACCCCCCTCTACAAAACCCCTGTCCTCCCCCCTTTTATAAAACACCTGCCCACCTCCTTTTTTATAATAACTCTGCTCATCCCCTTCACCAAAATCCCTGTCCACCCCATTACAGAACTATCCATAAAACATGTTTTTTTATTTTTTAAATCAATATCATCAAGCAGACACTCCACTCACAGTCTCCAAGTACTTTGGGTATGGCACGGTCTGGATAAAACTATACTTTACAGTCCATGGCAGAGGTCTGGTGATCACCTCGGAGTATGTTCCAACAATGTACCAAGCTGTTCTACAGTCCATTTCTAAATAAAAATAAGTTATATCCCAAAAAGTCTTAGGATTCTGGATCTTGGCTAAGAACACACCCATTATTATACAAGACGTCCAATTCTCAGTGGAACCCCTAACAAGCTGCCAACTCACTTCCTTTCACTAGTGTTTGTCCATTGTGGTGCCTACTCCCATAGAATCAACAAGACTGTGGCAGTGCAAGGGTTAAGTTAGTGCCTTATAACCCTCTCTGCTTCATAAACCCCTGTGTGGTAATTAATCTAATTCGCTTCATTGCTGTGTGTTTGTGAGATTACATTTCTGCCTATATTTCTGGATACATTTATTTAAATGTTTTGTTTGTTTATTTGCTGTTGCTCTGTCTTTGTTTGTTTTTGCTGACGCACATGAAATAATAAGAACATCAATGGACCTGCACAAATGAATCACTCACAGGGAACGCACATAATTAAACATAAATGAATAAATATGAATTAAGTGGCAAGCTCTTTCTTAAAGTTGTTCTAAATATAAATACTATTGTTGATTCACTGCCATCTAGTGGCCAAATGTATCTATTGAAAACTAAATGTATGAAAATTAAATGTATGCAAAAATGTAACTGCAACATTTTTTCACAAGACTAAATTCAGCCAAGCTGTGACTCTAGATTTGTTAAGTCCTTTTTTAAAATTAGTATTTTACAGTTTGCAATTTGGTATTCTATTAACAATTTTTCAGTGTGTATTTAAGCACTCAGGAGACTTAATACTGCTTTTTTCTTCTTTTATGCAGCTCACATATTTGTCATGATTTCCGTCATCAATGGGACTTTATCAAGACAAAGCAGGCAAGCTGGAGAGACGTCTAAAGACATGCCAAGACACCAAAAGGGTAAAAGTGATAGTGAGGATAGTGACATCCATCACAGAGGTCGAAAACAGGACAAGGTCTGTTAATTAACCAGAACAAAAACCAAGCCACAAGTATCATGCATTGCAAACTGATAAAAGGAACAATGTAGGCAATATACGTTCTCTGCTTGTTTTTTTTTTTATTTTTTTTTATGCAACCAGTCTTTTTAGGTAGTCTATTCCAATATTTCACCTTGCACTACAAGGCACTGACGCTTGGTTTCTTAATTGTCCTTGTCCTGGTTTCACTACGCACACTCTCTTGTTTTCCCTTAATTTCGCTGTGTTGGCGTCTATTTAAATGAATATCTAGCATAAATATTTTGCCTTATTAAAAGTCCGATTCACAACTGAAATGCTAACGTCTTGTAATTGAGTATTGAGTCTTTTGTAAGTCCTCCTTCCAGTGTCTATCTATCTTCTGTGTTTTTATCTCACATGTTTTGTTTTACTGTATACAATTTACAAATGGTAGCATTTAGATTTTTGTCTGTCTGTCTGCCTAATTAGCACACACAAGCAACAATAGAGATTCAATTTGAAGATGATCCATCAATACAAATAAGATTTCCTTCCTTCCTGTAGCAGTTTATAAGATATTAAGATACCATTAAAGGATCACTATAGGGTCAGGAACACAAACATGTATTCCTGACCCTATAGTTTTAAACTCACCTTATTTCCAGCGCCGCACAGGTCTGCCAGCACTGGCTCCGCCCCCTTTGTCTCATCATCAAAATGGCCGATTTTTAGCCAATCCAATGCTTGCCCATAGGGAAAGCATTGGATTTTCTAAAATCGGCACAGGACGGGGCTAAATGCCGTTTTGGCCAATCAGGACCTCCTCATAGAGATGCATTGAATTGATGCATCTCTATGAGGAAAATTCAGCGTCTCCATGCAGAGCGTGGGGACGCTATATGGCAGGGCTGCTTACTGTGCAGCTCTGAGCCAGGAAGCCCCTCCAGTGGCCATCTAAGGAGTGGCCACTTGGAGGTGTCGCTAGGGTCAATGCAAACACTGCAAAGGCAGTGTTTGCATGAAAATGCCTGAAGGGAGCTATAATACTCACCAGAACAACTACATTAAGCTGTAGTTGTTCTGGTGACTATAGTGTCCCTTTAAGAACAATTCTGACATCAACCTCATATATATATATAAACTATATTTCTTCTTGACTGGCTGTTACATACTAAAAACACTTTTTCTTCCAGCTCTCATATATTTTTCTATCAACTACAAAACACTTAGCAGGTACAATCATTTTAGTTTTCTTTACAAATGCAGCTTTAACATTTGCTACAATAGCATAAGAAAATTCTTCACATGCCATATAGCATACGCTGGCATGTAGCAGTATTCAGGACAGTCACATATAAAACAACCAGAATGCTTCTATGTTAGATCAGAGCATTCTGCAGAGTTTTACAAGACTTTATGCCATTACCCTCCAGAAGACTCCTGATGATCTGGAGGCACTCACCGTCATGTGACTCCTTTTGGAACACTAAATATATTAGAGATTAATATTATCTGACGCACTCACCTCCACCACCCAAAACAGGATACAGATAATTCCATGGAAAATCAAATGGAGATTGGTGAAAAGAGATTCATTTCTGCAAATAAATAATAAAAAGAGGATACCTGACATTTTGCATCTAAAAAGGCACATTGCGAACACTTGCCAAATCATCTTGGGAACTCCTTTTATTATAGGTTTTTGAAGCATGAACATAAGTACTTCTTCATAGCACTTGCTTCCTGATTAAAAAAAAAAAAAAAAAAACGTTTTAGCTTCATTTTGCCTTAGTGCCAGCAGGGCGGCCATCAGTGGACAAAGCCCCTACACATGTAAGGGGCCTGGCAAGCGTGGGCCTTATATGCACAAATCAAATATCTCCCTCCCCGGGTCTTTGCAGTTATATATGGGAACCATGAGGCTCTCAGCCTTCACCTCCAGAGGAAGGTCCTCTCATTTTTGCGAGGACTGGGTTTCAGAGCGTTATTTAATTAAACTCTTTTAAAACATATAAATACAGCTTACTTACTGACGGGCAGCACTCTTCATGTATGTGTCACTTACATGTTCTGCAACAAAAGCAGATAATATGAGAACAGGCAAAAGCTCAGAGAATATAAACAAATTACAAAATGTAGGGATCCAGCTGATATCACTAAAACAGATAAATGAAATGAAGCATAGCATTATAATTTTTTTATGTGTTTTAAAGGTATTTTGTTGCTTTTTTTGGTTCTTTTTTATGTTTTTCTGTGCCTTGAGATAATTGAGTTAGTTCTGTTCCTGACTAAATTATCTCTCAGGCACAGAGGAGAAGTTTGTAACTTGTAACTAGCCCCCTCTCAGGTCCATAAGAGGGATTATCCTGTTTGTGTGGGAGTGTCAGGGGCGTGCTTAACTGTGTCTGAAATTATATATGTGTCATCCAGTGCCTGTGGGTGGATAGAGCGAGTTCCCCATTCAAGTCCAGGAGGGAGTAGTTCCAGGACCCCAGTCAAGCCACGGCGACTGTGGGCAGAAGTGCTGCAGTTTGTCCCCTGTTCCAGCTAGGAAGTGGTCCTTGGCAGAGGTTACCAGCCAGGGGTACAGGGAGCTACATTACAAACAGCATTTTAAATATTACATATTTTAAAGTGAATAATGCTTTTGATTATCCTAAAATGAAGTGCTGAATTTAGTAGTGTCCATAAATTCTATGTTGCAAAGTGCTTGTTTCTTATTTCCCTTTTTTTGGATACCTATTTATTATCATAAAAGGTTGAGGCTAATAAAGTACAAAAAATAAACTTAAAAAGTAAAAAAATGTTTTTAGATTTTTGGATTCAAAAAATGGAAAAAAGAGAAAGTTCCAAACTAATGCATAAAACAAACCAAAATCTATGTCCACATTGAGTTCTTTGGGGGTGAGGGGTTGTAGTTTATGAATCCAATATATTTCTCATTGTGCCAGTTTTTTTCCCCTATCACCCCCTCTCCAAAGTGGTGAGATTCTTTCAATACCTACGCAGATAAGGTCCTTCAACTGAAAGACTGGACAAGCATTACAATGTGACATCAGTCCCTTCTTGAGGTTATTAATATGTACTATTGTTCTTACTTTTAAGGCTCTTTCTGCAATAGATATACAGCATGGTCCGTGTGGCAACCAATACTGACCTTGATGGGAAAACATTCACCTGTTACTTCACATATTAAATAAGATCTACCTAAACACACTGTTAAGGCAAGCTTTGCACCTGTTTAAACCCTTTAAACCCTTTCTCTCCAGTATTTAATTCTTGCTTCCTTTTAATGGCATAACTAGGAGCCAAAAAGTTTTTATTTATTTTTTTATTTTTTTATTTTATAAATTAATGTTGGTTGTTTTGGCAATGCTTTTCCCAATATTGGGTCCTCCAACAAAATTAGCCAATATTTTTGCAGACCTTTTTTGATCTTCCAATGATCTGTGTTTAAATGTGTAACAAATGCACATCTAAATTGATCTCCTGATTTTTTTATGGTTTGACTGTCCATTGGTAATTCATTCCTATCTCTCCTTGACATAATCCTAATCTCCTTTTCAATCATATTTTTGTTATAACCCTTCTTTACAAGTTTATTTTTGATGTGCTGTGCCTGTTGTGTGAAATCCTGGATGTGTGAACAGTTACGCCTCACTCTTGTTAGCTGTCCCTTGGCTACCTAAAATAAACTGTAATGCCGTCAAAATAAATGTTTTCATATGATTCGATATGTCCTAAATTTGACTCATAAAAAATTTAGATTATGACTAATGACTGTATATAGTGATACCACATCCAACTTGGCCCAACTAAAACCTGCCATTCCAGGTTTTCCACTTCTTGTAAAAATTACTTTGTGTCTTTAGTGTATGATAGAGCATTCTGTGCATATGTTTGCAAATAAGAGTCTACAAAGGAAGATAGAATATATACCGCTGATGATAGGGCAGCCCAGTGGGGTCTGGAGGTTTTTGTGAATTTTAAGTATGAAATACATTTTTTTTTTTTTTAATGTAAACAATTATGTCTCCTCTTACATGTGAAACCGGAGTTAATTACCAGTTTGATTAAATTCCATCGACATCATGGCTATACCCCTGGAGAACTCCAGAAGGTGATCAAACAAAATGTGCTGCAACGGAACACGTGGCCATATTGGATTCAGCTAGAGATGGAACACATGGAAGTGTGTCATCATGAGGAAGCACCTGTCTTACTACGAACGGATCACTGGTAAAGACGAACAGCTGAGAGAAGAGGAGTCAAGAGGACCAGCGGTGGGATAGGCTTGGAGATTCATCAAGCATGATATGATAAGCACACGTAAAGTTATACATGCAGAATATACATAAATATATGTGATGAATGAATATCTGTACTATATTTCTACATATTTGCACTGTTTTTAAGGGGAATACTTGGAAGTTTTTTTACAATTTAATTTTAAGAGAATTTGAAAAAATAGATGATGTGTTTAATCAGAATTTAAATTACCAGAAAAGTTGGTCCCCAAGCCAATGGATAAGCAGGAGTTCTGGTGGAGAGAAACAAATAATTAGAAGAATTTTGAATGATATTTGCACATATTTTAAACTATCTAGAGATCCTAAAGAATGATACTTGTTAGCACTAAAAACACTTTTGGAAAAATACCTCAATAAAGGTTTTTTAAATAAAGATGAGTTTAATTTTGTGTTGTTTTCTGCCACTCCAACCCATATATGTATCCTTTTTCATAGATCCATAAGGATTTGGTTAATCCTCCTGTTAGGCCAATGATATCTGGAGTGGCTTCCCTTACACCCAATTCATCTAACACTGTTGATATTTAGGACTGTGCAGATATTGTAGGTCTCTTGGCCGGTACAGTAGATTGTCACATGTTTTTTTGTCACAGTATGTCACTTCACTATTTAGCTGTAATGAGTAAAGGATGGGTAATCTACCTGTTAGCATTACATTGAGAAGGCAAGGTATTTATTAAAAAAAAAATATATATTTATATATAGTATTTGTTTTCATATATAGTCCCCAGATTTCTTTTTGCAATGCTCTCTATCTGTTCCTTTATTTTCACTGATAGTTGGAAATAAATTGTACTGTTATTCCTGTTGATTAACAAACACTATTTCTATCTTTCTAGGTGTAGAAATGAAAGCCTGGTCGATTTTTACATACAGTGCTCTCCTCTAATATTGGCACCCTTGATGAATATAAGCAAAAAAGGCTCTGAAAAAGTATCTGCATTGTTTAATCTTTTGATTTTTTGTTCAAAAAATACACAAACAAAATTGCAAACACAGGTTTATATATATAAAAAATAATTGTTAAATATATGTGTGGCACAATTATTGGCCAAGGGTGCCAATTTTAGTGGAGGGTACTATGTATGCTATAACAATGGTGGTATTGTTACACTGCTGTTTATGTATACTTTGGTCTGTGAGCAATTTATTTTGCCAACCATTGCAAGAATAAAGGCTGCTTTTTGTGACACTGGGTATTTGTAGGAGTCTATGAATGTGAGCAATTTTTTTTATTGAGATAAGCACTTTACTGAAGAGTTGCTCAGACGGTACTGCTCTATTTTAATTCCATTTTTATGCATTTTAATGTATCTTTGTTAGATAATAAACTAAATAACTATATTATATTCAAGTGAGTGTCACTTTTTCATTGTGTTGTGATCACAGTTTGTGTTTTTCTTTTCTGTGTAGTTTTCTTTAAGAGATAATGTGCACCTTTTATTTTTGTACCTTTGCAGCAGGTATGGTATTTTTCAATGTATTAGTAGTTAATTCCCTATTTTGTTTGTAGATCATAGATAGGCAGAAAGGACATACAGTACATGCTTGTTCCCACTTATCTAGCCTCAGTTAGAGGAGCAATGTTGATTTTATCCAATGAAGCAGATTATGGTTCACTTCCTCTGCCAGTCTATGACCGTCCAACTCAGAGCAGGATTAATTATAAGTTGACCTCAGGCAGCTTTAAAGAATGAATAGAGGCCCCAAACTGTTCACCTGCCAGTAGTATATTAATAATTTTCTTGCCCGGATGACTGAGAAATCAGATTACAATGATGGACTTCCTGTGAAAGTTTTATTTATGCTTTTCAGCTTATTATTCCTATTAAAGTATTGATTTTTTTCTGAAAGATTAAAAAGTTATCTATAAAGGTATATTAATGTGTCATATTTAAACCTGTACGTTGGAGGAAGCCCCAAACGGATGGATGTCCCATGTATGTATGTATGTATGTAATCTCATAAGGGTTACATTAGGATGGCATAGCGTAGGACCTATTAAGGACAATATTAAGGTACATTGATGGTTGTCACAAGCCATTTGTCCCACTGGCACTATATAACATGATCCATGTTGCAACATGTTTAGATCTTTCAATCTCAAGACTATGAAAACATTATGTTGCCAATACACTAATACATAACTCTAGAGCCAATGTAAGGATAATGGGGCTATTTGGGCTATTCTCAATAAAAAAAAAAAATATATATATATACACACACACACACACACACACCTTTTGTATCCATATTTCTAGAAGGAAATTACTATGCGCACCTGCATATAAATATATATTTTGTCTGAGAAACATAAAAACATAGCAACTTAGAATGTTATGGCAGGTAAGAACCATCTGGTCTGCTGAAATTTCTAAATACTTTCATTAGTCCCTGGTCTTATCTAATAACTAGGATAGCCTTATGCCTATCCCCATGCATGCTTAAACTCACTTGTTGTGTTAACCTCTACCACTTAAGCTGGAAGGCTATTCCATGCATTCACTAACCTCTCAGTAAAGTAATACTTCCTGATATTATTTTTAACACTTTGTCCCTCTAATTTAAGTCTATGTCCTCTTATTATTTTTGTTATTTGGTTTCTGTTAGTAATGTCATATATGTATATATACATACACACATTTAAACTACTATATTAATATTCCCATCCTCCTCCTGTCCATTCCCCAAACTCTTCTATTGTTCTTCGTTTCTAACTGCCTGTAGGTTATGCCCCCAAGATAACAGCTTTGCTCTTTTGCTCTTGGCAGCTTTGTAGACAGGAGGTGTGGAACTTGTGTCCAGAAAAGGTCCAGAAAAGGTCAATGGATTCAGTGAGAAGACAGGAGCTCATATGCTCAGCATATCTTGTCTCCTAATCACCAGAAATATGATCTCATGGGTAATCTCTTCACTCTTGTGGTCATCAAATAACGCATGCATTGTTAAATCTCTGACTGGATATCTTACCTGTACTACTCATCCCTTAATTCGGTATTGAATGTCTGTACAAGGTTCAGTAATCAACTCTGGCAGGGAGCAAAACAAATTGTAGCATTGAATGTCTTCAAAATTCTATTCATAAAAATAAACATTTAATTTTTACTTTTTATTTTACTTTTCATTCGTATTTTTTCTGCCTGTGAAGTTAACAGAATGAGAAATATCACACGGAATTGTGCAGTTTCTTTTTTATTCACGTATAGCCCATAACCAGCATGCTTTTATTTTACAAATAAGAGAAGTTTGAAAAAAACTAAAATATTGGAAATACAATCTAAGTAAGTAAATATTGGACTTAAAGTATAGTAGTTATTAGTTGCACTCTGTATTGTGCATTGATTGGTCACTAGACAGTAGCATTAGACACATGAGATCACTTCAGCACACTAAACCAAGAAAATGATTGTGATTATGATTGAGTGTTCTTTTAATACTGGCTTTAGTATATTTTTGTTTTAATCTTTTATTTCTCTATAATACAGTTTGAACTATTTGAACCTGAAAGGCCATGAGCCTTTGCTGACTATTTATGAACACGGCAAATTGCTAAATTAGCAGTTTCTTTATGTTAATGTAAGAGATTACCAACTAGGTCTTGTCCATAGGGACACTTGGCACAGCACCCTACAAGTTTTATGTGGAAAAAAATATTTGCAGTAGTTTAGGGCCACAATTATTTTTTTTGGTGGGGAGGGGTGGAGCGAAAAAAAAAAAAAAAACATGGAAAAATGTATATCAACATACTCCAGCCATTGCCTATGTGTGTGTCAAATTACTTATTGTATTGTATGGGTATCGCTGTATTGTAACTCTGGCACCATGTTTTGTATGTGTATCTCTGTACTGTTCTCTGTTCTGTGTATTATATAGGTAAAATGTATGGATATCTGAAGGTACCTGGCTTTTTTCAGTCTTGTGTTTAGCAACATTTAGTGAATAAGCACCTGGACTAACAAGCTAAGTTCTGTATAATGTATAAAGGGTGTAAGTTGTTTACAAGTTTGCACTTTATACATTCTTTCCGTCCTCCTACCCTCACCCCCCTACTGCTAATCTGCTTAGTAACGGCAGTAAAGTCCCAACAAACCACCCCCTTACTGCTTGTCTGCAGTAAAGTCCTAATCACCCCCCTTTTACTACCCTCTCAATACATTAAGACCAGGTGTTCCTATATGATTGGATAACGAATAAAAGCACACCCTGTTAAAGAACACCATATATACAAATGTGATTTGCAATAAATCTTTTGAAGTCACTTTGAACAACTTGTTAATGTGTCAGTTAATGGTGAGTTCCACAGCGCTAGAAAAAGATTAAAGGACAAACCAGAGATTCATAAATAAGTCCAAGTCAAATTAAGTGGGTTTTTTTCTTGACGCATTCTTAACTATATTTACAACTTTGGGGGCTCGTCCGGGATCAACATGAGATAGTGCCATCTGCTGGTATGTAAACTGAATTTATTTTCTGTCAGTTTCTATACTCCCAGCTGTGCTCTGTCTTCCTGTTGGTTTTGAACCTATTATTGTAAGTAATACTGTGAAGTAGTGAGACCCTGCCAGCGTGCAGTGGCTGTAGTCACATTCTACCAGCATGTAGAGTGTGTAATGTAGTATTATCAGAGATAATACTGTAGGGTTTTATACCTGTTGAGGTGTTATATAAGTGTTGAGACACTATTACTGCTGTATTATTATTAATATTATTATTATTGGTATTTGTATATCGCCAGCTTATTCCGCATCGCTTTACATTAAAAAGGGGATTTAACAAATGAGACAATAAAGAAATGTTACAGGAACAATAGGTAGATGAGGACCCTGCTCAAATGAGCTTAAAGTCTAGAGGAGGTGGAGCATAGAACACAATAGATAGGGTATGGAGGGAGACAGCAAATAAACATGGTGTGAAACTAGCATAACTGGAGGTAAAAATGGAGTGTGGCCATTTAGGAGAGTGCAAGAGGCAGGTTTGTGAGATAAAAGTTACTCTGGGAGTGTAACGAATCACCTGGCACCCCGACTGGGTACCTCCGTTGAAGGGTGCTCCTAGTGCTTCCTGAGGGCTCCAAGCACTCCAGCCAACACTATAACCACTGTAGACTCCTCCAGAGAGCAAGAGAGGAACAGGCTCTTACAAGAGCTTAGTAGTGATATAGCAAGGGAGTATGACTAGCATAGCAATCCCTTGTAGCAAATTCCCCCAGTAACGAGACGACACTTCGTTTTGAGGGTCAAGCAGAACTGACTGTACTGGCACATACAGCTTCTTTTATTCACAATCTACAAACATAGTACTGCCCACAGGGTTTTGAAGTACAACCAATCAATCCATTTAATACACAGACACTCCCACACAAAATCCTCCCCTCTGCCTGTGATATGATTACTGAACACAATGGTTAATATAATTATCACAGGCAGAGAAATACAGTATTATAAAACATATCACAGGGACCCCAAAACAGACAATATCCTCAGAACCAGGGGATCTGGGTAAACCACATATCCAAAATTCACCCAGATCCGTTCAGTAGTTTGGTAGATACAGTTTAATGCAGATTCCGCAGAACATATACAGGCTATATGAAAAATAATTACTGTATAATGTGTCCCCTGTTGTATAGTTTAAAACTACTGCACCAAATACCGGCAAGATGGCATCGT